TGTTCTTGAGCTTCATCTATACGGGACGGCGGACTCTTCTTTATGCACGGCTTCAGCGCCCCTGGGACTGAATCTTCGGCAAGTGGTGCGACGGACCCACTAATCGGTACGGTGTCGTCGACGGTCGGTCTTCTATACTGTTCAGTGGTGCCGCCGTCGGGGGTGGTGTCCTTTGTCGCTGTGTCCAGCCAGGTGATGACGCGTTCTTCATTCTCGGTGCCATGTGTGCTATCGGTTTCTCTTCTATCTTCTATTTGCGGGTCCTCTTGGTCCTCGTCTTCGGTATCTTGCTCTTCCATTCGTATCTTCGCCCGTATAGTCTTCTCTAATTCTTCATATAATGCCGCCAGGCGCTTCTTCTTTGCAGCTCTTCGTGTAGCTATCTTCGATTCTGTACGATGTGATGTCATTGCAGCTGATGGCGACTTCGGCAGTTGATCGTGGCGCAGCGGGTACGGTGGCCGCGTCACGGTGTCGCTCTCTTCCGATGGCGCTCTTGACGGGGTTTGGGCAGGATTCTCTCCTGCGGCGGTTCGCTCTGGCTCTTCGTTGCTTCTCTCCATGCGCTCCTCTTCGGCCTGGTCCATCTTGTCAGCTTGAGATCTTGTTCGTGGCATTTTTCTGTCTTCAATCTTCTGTTTTCTGTCTTCAATATTCCACGACGATCTTCTTTCTTCAATTTTCTATAATTTTCTTCAATTGTTCCTCGGCGCTGTAGATCCGGCTCGATGCGACCAAAAAATGTGTGGCACGCCGGGTACAGCCCAAATGGATGGTCGCTGAGAGGAGCCGATGGTCCAGAGTGAACCGCTTGTTTCTTCCTGTTCCTTAGGGTAGGAGCGCCTGTCGCTGAATGCATGTCGGAGCCTGTTCCGACTCGAATTTTATATGCTAGGACTGAGCTGGCCAGCGATCCATTACCTCACCCCCGCTATACTTTATTTTTCATTTATTCAAAAAATACATAGGTGCGAGCTTAAAACTATACGTACATACATTAGGCATACAAATAGGCATATTTTTAGCGCAGTTGCGCGTCCGTAAGCATGATATTTTAGGTGTGGCGCGCAAAAAATTGGTCTCCGTGATATTTATATTTTCCCCCTCCATAGGGCTTCGCCCTGCCACAGGGCTCCGCTGCCCTACCCACTGCTGCGCTGCGCTGCGCTGAGTGGGGAGCGCGAAACGTTTTTAGGAGATCGTTCTATACAAACTAATTTTGCCTTATATTCAAACTAATATTCCGTACATTTCTATTTTTATCGATTTGATGCCTATTTATTTATGTAGTCCTATGCGTTATCTATCTAATACAATAAGTTTCTAACAAGAATAATAACAAACAACGGCTCTATAGGCCTATAAAGTTTACAATTTTAAAGGTCTTAAAAAACCTACTTACATTCATTTAATGCCTAACTATCATACATCATTCTATAGGGCAAGTGAAAATACACAAAATAAAAGCTTTATTATTAAAATTATAGATATAACCTATCAAATATTCATAGAAAAACTATATTTAACATTTCCCTTAATTACGCCTAAACTATTAAAATGATTTACACAAAACTTTACTATCTTAATAATATATCTACCTATTTCCTAATAAAATACAAAACATACAAATTCAAACACAAAAACATACTATTTTCGAAGGTTATCAACTTAGGCGAAATCTAATAAGACTGCTAGAAAGAGACAGCCTATCGTCCCTGTCCCTCCTATCGGTCCGAACTATCATATTCTAGTACAGTTTCCCTGCGCCACCGCTTGGCGTCGTGGCGATCGATTAGGCAAATTCTTATAAGACTATTGGTGAGAAAGAGACAGAATATCGCTTTGAACTATCAATTTTACAGTCAGTTACTATTGGCAAAGCTCTCTATTATTGCGATATCCGACTCATTCTAATAAAACAACAAGGAAATAACATTTTTAATGATCGTACAAAACAGTTTCATGTGAAATTGCATCTATAGACATATTTTATAAATCAATCTTGTTTCGATGTAAACTTTATTTCTTCTCGCTTCGGTCGTCGCGTACACTGTTGAACATGTATATGCTCTCTTGCATTAGCATTAAGTCCATGGTTTATGTTGTGTAGCCATAGACTATTTTTTATCTAGATGTATTGTCTCTGCCCTAATCGTTCTCTTGGAAAAATGTCGTCATGTAGGGATTTTGCTGTTGCATTTAGATCGCTTGCTATCCATGTTAATATTGTTTAATCTGCATCGTATAGTGTTAAATATTACCGATTCATATTCCTTGCAAAGTGTAATATTTGTATTTGAGAATACAAGCGTATACTTTGAAAAGTGTCTGCGTTTCAATTGTCGCCGCCGCCACCACCTGCTCCAGAACGAATTGCTTTTATGCCTTTGTGGATTTTGACGTTGTCCTTCACCACTGCCAGCTCTCACTGCTTTTACATACACATTGCATAATAATTGTGTAGGAGATACATCTATTTCTTATAACTAAAATGTCAGGATAGGGTCCAATAAAAAATATACAAAATTTCATAATCAAGTCCAATAGATTCACTTCATTTTAACATCAAATTACAGAACGTCAGTTCTTTATGATAGCTACAATGGTTCCTTCATAAAATCATCTTTAAATGGAGTAGTAGCAGAAGCAGAAACAAATATATTCTTTTTTTTAAATCGCCTTTATAAATAGCTAATTTAAGGTCTATTGATAATTTATTAAATAATGTCGTTGACTGACACTCAACTATAACGGTTCCACATTCCTACACCGAAAGTAGGATGTTATTTTTTTGACGTCGACCCTTAGAATAACTACCCTACGGATACACATGGTGTGTTGTGTTTCAAAAAAAATATGGATTTAAAAAGGATAAAATTTTCCGATAAATTAATCCTAATATTAAGCTCCAAAAATTTTTTTTTAAGAAAGTTTTACAAGAGAAAAATTCACATAACAGCACCTGGATCGAGTGAAATGAAAACGTGTTACTATCCTATCTGAAGAGAGAGAAAAATAATTGTAAAATTTGTCTTCAGTTTTGTATGTGTGCATGTTGGAATAAAGTTTTATCTATCTATCTATCTAAAAACTTACATAGCGGTGTTCCGTTAGGATCAGTTCTAGGGCAAGTTCTTTTTTTTATAATAATAAACTTTTGACCTACTACATTGACGACGGACACGCGAGTAGGATATATCAGTAAGACTCAGTTTGGATTTGGACTTCTTAATGGTCTAAGTTGAATAGGTATTAAGGTAGGTAGGTAACTGACAGAAATACATAATGATTCATCTTATTTATGTAAATGTTTGTAGATTCGTCATCGTATTATGAGGTATTAACTCCCGTTTTAGGCCTTTAATTCAAGTATATATAATAAAAAAACTGAAGTGGCAATGGCTTCATTCCCATTTACCTCCGGTGGCAATCCGCGCGGGAGCGACTGGGAATAAAGGGATTTAGGTGGTCGTTATCGGCCCGGAATCTCAGTAGATACAAATGCTCAGATCCGCGTTACAAAAGATTTGCGCCACCCAGATTCAAACCAAAGACTGTATGTAGGCGACGACACCTTGAACAGACCGCTGTTCAAGGTGTACAATTGGCGCCAATTATGTAAATATTCGCATTCGCGAATGCCGGTACCAGATATTCGCAGCCGCATTCGCCAATGTTCAAATAATGACATTCGTTACATCACTACATTATGTACACCGGTACATACTAGTTACATCATGCCATAGACCAATTGTCTATGGCATGGTGGCAGTCACGTTCGAATTGCCGAGTTGATATGAACTCAACCGACTGAAGTGTCATTCCGCTCGCGCCGGTCTTCTGATAAACAAAACAAGTGAATTTTGGGGTAAGTGTTTGAATAGTGATTTATTAACATGAGTAAATCAAGTTCTAGTGAAATATGAACTTATTTCACACTTTGCGATGCTGAACGAGCTAAATGCAAGCTGTGTAACAATGAATATTCAAGGAAAGGAATAACTACAACTTCTTCAAATAATTTTTTTTTAAATTCATATTCGCACAACATTCGCAGAGATTTTGTGAATGTGAAATTCAAAAATATGCGAATATTCGTTACATCACTAGTACCACTGCACCGTGGAGGTCGTCATCGTCGTTGTTAAGAAGTAGGTACGAAGTTTATAATATTATTGAAAAATGTTATTGCATTGCCTTTTGTGTTATGAATAGTAAATAAAATTCATAATGATATTTTCATATTCAGAACGTCCATTTTTTTCAAGTTGCGTTCTGCAAGTTTTCATCACATAGTACAGAATGCAGCATCCACATCGAATAAACTATACATATCTACATTAGACTTGCAACGAATAGTATATTCGGCAGTATACCGAATATTCGGCGAGGCCCCTGACCGAATTGCCGAATATTAGGCAAAAGTATTCGGCTGGATTTTAGCGCCAAAAACTTGTACAGACGTGATTGTTTCGCGCTCCTTTGTTTTGTTCTAACCTACCGTCCTCAAGCTAAAATGCGGCTAAATGACAAAACCAACTTTTGAGACATATCGTTGGTTGAAAGTTGGTTTTGAGATATGTCTCAAAAGTTGGCCATAGCCAAAAACGGCGCGTAAACTTTAAATTATTGCTATTATGTAACCATTCATCACATGACTGAATGAATTAAAAACTGTTAACTTGTTTAATACAGAAAATGATTAAATTATGTACCTGTTTTATGTACCAATGACTACTTAATAAATGATTATAAAAGAAATGAGAAACATACCCTTCTAAATTTTGATTACCACAATAATACAAATACATAGAATCCTACATTTTTCCAATTCAGAAGATGATTATGTACCTGTGTTATGTACCAATGACTACTTAGATGATTATATAACAGAAATGAAAATATTAATATATACGTAATCAATCGATTAATTTTTCATTTACCAATTATTTCTCTACGACAAAATATATTATTTAAGTATTCGGCCGATATAATAAAAGCAGCCGAATAGGCCGAATACCGAATAGTAACTGAATATTCGTTGCAAGTCTTATCTACATCTATCATTTTTACATAGTTACTTACTAATATTATAAATGTGAGTTTGTATTTTTGTTTGTTACTCAATCACGCAAAAACTACTGAACGGATTTGGATTGTTGGTAAACTTATAATTGATGACCTTTTTTAGATGACGGGCAAATGCATTATATACTTATTTAAATATGTACAATGGCCAACGCCGCGATGGTTTGCTGTTAACAAATCACCGCGACGCAGGTAATTGCGTGATGCATTCGGCCCGCGGAGAGCGACCTGAGGGCCATTCTTCGGTGCAAGTATACTCTGACGTGCGCTCACGTAAACGTGGCAGACGTCAAACTAGTCCCACAGACATTGTCGGAGCGGCTAGCCAACCCACTTGCTTCCGTACCTACCAGGTAAACCAACTTCCGATCTATTCCTTACCTTTCAGGCATAACTGCACTGCGGGATCCAGTTATGAGTTGCCGCTCGATATAACCTGGATTGAGACATAGGCTACTTTTTATCCCGAAAAGGGTTTGGATTGGGTGAAAATTGTCCGCGACGGAGCATGGTGTGGATGTTCGCAACGAACGTTCCTTCCGTGCTCAGCTTTAAGACTAATCGCGTTACGCGGTCGCCCGCGCGGTTCTATACAAAATTGCCGGCACGGATTCATAAAAATTACCCGCGCGGGTCTCTGATGAAGGTACGATTTTGTATGAAACCGCGCTGACGTCTGATTAAAGCAGTTTGAGCCCTATGAGAGCGCACACTATTAAAACGTCAAGATATTTCGCAGAATCCGTTAAATTGCCACTTAATTTATGATAAATGGAACATATTTTAGATTTTTCATCCCATGTCACTATTTTAGACCCCTGTCCTTCTACGATTTCCCTACTCATGAGTTCTGGTCTGGCAACCTTATTCACTGCAGAAATGCAAAACTACATAATAGGAAGGGTTATTTGGCTGCAGTCTTCTGTAAGGTGAAAGAATCTACATGCAATTGCTGCATACAGTTTTTATCACTTGGCAACCACTGCTTCTTTCATCCACTCACCAATATGCTAAAGAAAACTCAACAGAAACACTTTTTTAAAACCGAAAATAATATTTTACTAGAAGACAAAATATTACACATTGTAAAAATGCCATCACAACATGTGAGACATTCAAACTTTATAGTTTAAATTAGATTAGAAAACAAGTAAACTGCTACACAGTATTTGATAGAACATCCATTGGGACACCTAACAGAGATCTGGAATTATTTTTGTGCAGCAGAGTGACATTAATATTTTTTGAAGCTATTTTAATGTACTATTTATAATGTAAATATTGATAAAGAACAAAAAAAAATATCAAACATTGAAATTCTAATAGCATAGTTTATTGTATTAGCCTACATAGCTGTAGTACTAATAAATAAGTTAGCATCAAACATAACATAAAATATTCATGTATGAAAATGAATATGGAGTCAATATTTTCAATAGTACTTATAATACATGCTGTAGCTCAAATACTATAATGAGGCCTAGTTCCAAGGAAAGTTTCATATTGTCAATGCAAAATAACAATATGATTACACATATTTTGTTGAAACAAACCAAACTGGATTTAAATTCATTACTGTAATTTTAAAACACTGAAATTCAATTAAAAAAAAATCATTAACCCTCAAAATAGCAAATAAGCTTTTATAAATTTGCACATCTAATTACAAAATTCTTAATATTACTTTTTTTGTGGTAAACAGGTGTATATATAGTCTAAGACAAATAATGTTCCATTATAGTGTAGTTTTAATAATGATTTTCAGAAATAAGATGGATGATGAATGAAGTATGTATTAATTTACCCAGATCACAATTTACAGAACTGATGTAGTTCAAAATGTCATTTTGGGTTATTTGTAAAACACACTTGTCCCAATGAATTTACATCGAGGTTTTCGCCGGTGTCATCAGCACAGATCCAGCATAATGTCTCTGATATTTGAGGTCCTGGCTGTCCCCTGCTAATCAATAAATGATTGCTCTACACATGCTTTCACCCGTTTTTCATATTCCCTTCGGTTCTCCTTGTATAGTTGTGCTGCCATTGAATTAGCTGGTGAATTGGGGTTAGGGTCACTAAGTAACGACTGGAAATAAATATTGATTGTATTTATAATAATATTAATTACTATAAATTAATATTTGGTAAATATGATAAGTATTCAGTATTAAAATTCTACATTTATATTTTACCTGTATAGATGTTAAAATTGCAGAAACATCATAAGTAGGGCTCCATCTGTTTTGCAGGATGTCTAAACAAATTCCACCATCAGCATAAACATTTGGATGAAACATTTTAGACACAAACCGCACTGTAGGTGGTTTGTTAGGGTATTCTTCTGTGAACTCAATTGTTAGCTTAAATGTACCATCTTCAAAGGGAGTATCGTGTGGGCCAAATATGACCGCATTCCAGATCATAATATTGTTATCTGTTGGAGCACCAGAGACACCAGTTGGGGGATCCTCTTGTAAACTGAAAGTTACAGGAATAATATATTATTGCAGTATAAAATTTACAAAGTTAAGGATATTTTAGTTGTCACAATTAAAAAGGGAGCAGTACCTACCTAGAATGGATCATCCAAAACTTAAATTTATTCATTACAATTTCTTTAGATATACTTAGAGAAAATCTTACACTTGGTGAAAAAGTGCTATTGTCACAAATAATTGAATAATATACCGCAAGCGTCTATCTAATCTATGGTGGCCGCTGACCATTTGTTTGTTTGCCACCCCTTTAACTTGAAATTTTGTTTTATGACAACAAAATGATTCAAAATTATCAAAAAGGATGGAACTTTAAATTACATTAGATGGATGGTACTTTAAATTACACCTAAATAGTTTTTATTTAAGTAATAAATATGTTTTTGAACCTATATCTGACAATACAGTAGGTATGTTAAGAAAACATACCTACTGTTCTAACAACTTAATTTAAACACATAGCCACAATATTAAGAGATGGCAGAGAGAGCATTAAGGTTCATGACTATATTTTGGTAAATATTTTATACCATAAAGTTCAATTCCATTAATACAACTAATAATTAATATAAGACTTAGTTGTATTTTTTTTCTTCTAAAGTTATCCTACATTTATACCAAGAATGAGACAAATCATGTAAGACACATTTTTGTTTAGGTTAACTTCCAGAAAATAATACATATATTTGTGATTCATTCTATAGAGACTGAAAACAATTAATTCTCATAATCTAGTTGTAATTGGTACAGACTTATTGATAAAAAAATGAAGGGGAAAATGGACGATACCAAAAACTTTTTTATAAATAGATTGTAAAAAAGGATAGGTAACAAATAATAGAATACTTAGTAAAAGAAATTGATGTCTTTGATTTAACCTAGTTTGTATTATTAAAAGAAACATGCGTGATATAGATTTTAACCAGCTTTTAGAGAGTTGATTTCTTAGCATTTGGATAAGCGGTAAAACAGTCAGACGTTGGAAATGTAGAACAGAATAGAAATCGATGACTATGACAGTGATGTAATTTGATGAATCAGCACTAGTTTTTTAAGCGTTTAAGGCCGAAGCATACTAAAATGATGGAAATTTGTGTTATGTGTCCCATTTAGATAAAAATATATCACAAAGAATGGTCACATACCGTTTGAAATCTCTCATTAGGCGTCTTCTGGCAGGAGTTGACATTTTGATTTGACGCACTTACTGTACACTGTTTTAAGCGTAATAGTTCCAAATATGTTAGCCACTAATTATTTCATAAGATCTTCTTATTTTAATATCACAAGTTTTCTTGTACACAAAAGGTTTCTCCTTTGTCGTTGTAAAATAATCTTTGTCGTCACGACTGACTGTGAGAGATGAGACGGTTGTCAGATGACCATGAAAATTAGCAATTTTTTTCTCAGTGAAACCAAGGCCCCGTTCTATACCTACGCACCAGGTGCAACAAATCACAATAATGTCAACCTATCTATAGTCGCGGTACGATATGATGGCCGTTTTGACACATTGCGATCACGGACCTGAAAAAAAACGACGTTACAATAAACTAAAACGATGTGAAGCCTCAGACCAAATAAAAAGTAACGACGGAGTCTGCCGAACAAAAAAGTGAAGCCGATAAAACTACGCCTCGCCGTGTACATACACAGTTACACGCACACACATGCAACGAAACTACGCCTTGGCTTTCCAGTCGAGCTATCCCGGCGCGCGGAGTGTGACGTAATAATAGAAAACAATATTTATTAGAGAAAATGCCGAATTGTGTAGTGAAAACGTGTAGAAACCAATCTTCCAAGAATAAAAAACAGGATGGAATCACATTTCATACGTAAGTAAAGTTATAAACTAATATTTGCAATTAATCAAAACCAAATTTGAGGTTGTCGCTTTGTAAACAAAACCTGAACGAAATGCTGCCATGATTATACGTTACAGTTTTACCCTTTTGTTGGGTACCTAGCGTGAAATATAACGTAACGTTATTTTATTAAAAACATTGTGTAGCATACTTTTATATTATTCGAATATTGTAATGCATGGATAAACAATTACACGAAATATCTTTATTATCTTTTTTCTTTATGTATTTGTATCAATTTTTTGGGATGTAATACACATTATATATTATACGTTTTGACGTGACAACGTCTTAAATTAGGTTGCGGCTGGGAGTCACTTATGAAAAAGTGTAACGCTCGGTAACGTTACGATGAGTTTAAGTTTACATGTACAATGTTTTAGTAAACAAAATATATTTCTATAGTTAAAATTTGTGCAATTCTTATTTTCATTCAATTCCTTGTTCCTATTGTGCAATTTAATTATATTCATATCAATAAATATTCTACCGAGAAAAAGACGTTGTCACGTAAAATCTTCGCCCGTAAAACCGACTTTACAGGCAACCATTTTTTTTTTTTTACGATATCCTAATCGAGATCAAAATCCAAAAGAGAAGTGGATTGCAGTCATTCGTAAGAGTAGAAATGAACCATTGTGGCAACCAGCTTCCCGCAGCGTGGTTTGTTCGTCTCATTTTCAGAGCGACGATTTGTACTACACAGCAAAAGGGTTACGTCGTGTAAAATAAAATGCATATTCAAGGGTATTTTTTTTACTTAACTTAATATAGTTACTTAGGTTAATTTATATTTTAAAGATTCCAATAATTCTTCAGTCGTGCAGACGGTTGAAACACAAAATTACACTAATTTTATTTCACAATATTCACTATGAACGAATTAAAGAATAATTAAAATATGACGCTAACCGCACTCCATGAAATCCCGCCAAAAACTCCAAAGGTTAAGCTTTGTATTTATTATATATATTTTAACTAAACTTTTATTCGTGTAACAGTTATTAAACTTATAAATCACAGGAACCCCAGATCTCCAAGCGCAGGACTTTTGGCTCACGAGAGGTTGGATCTAGCGCTAGTGTAAAACTAATCTGGACTAGTTTAGAGAATAAGCCTACGATAGTTTTTTCTAATATTTTATACCGTTATTAATAACGTTATGAAATAACGTTAGGAAACGTTATGAAATAACGTTATTACAGTTTTCTAATATTGGGGTATTTTAAATGACTATGGTAACACTGGCTAATGCACTACATACATAAAAAACCGGCTTCACTTTTTTGTTCGGCAGACTCCGTCTTTACTTTTTATTCGGTCTGAGTGTGAAGCATCAATCATGCAAGGTCCTACAATTTAGTTTGTTGTACAATATTTATACTCACACAAACGCACCAGGTCGGACAAACCGCTGCCATTTCACTCCGCGTGATAGCGGCCGTTACACGTTCAATTGCTCCTACAATTTTTTTTAAATATGCCGTCTTGTGTGATGACATCATGTAAATCTGCAAGGGTAAACTTAATAAGCCACAAGGAATCACCTAACATGCGTAAGTAATTACAAATCGTGATAATTTTTCAAAATTATATTATATTTGTGATGAAAAAATACAACTGGGTTACTTTTTTTACTAGAAAATTTTCCTAAAAGTGGGGAAATTTGTATTTCATGCATTTTTGACTCGGTAAGACAAAGTTTCGAAACTTTTTAAGGTTCCGTATTCCAAACGGAAAACAAACAGAACCCATATTATTCATATAAAATTACCCTTGCCTCCTTTTTATGATTACTGGGTTTATTCGATACTGCAGATGAGAAAACAATTGGAACCCATCAACTACCAGTACTGTGTGCAATGCACATTTTGATGATTTAGATTTTATGATTACAGCTCCTTAGCTGAAGGAGCTACGTTGTTTGGTTCCGTACGCTATCTACGCGATTTATCTCGTTTAAAGAATTCTCGTGTCACAATGTTGGTTACTTAGAGCATATACCACTGGAAACGCCATACCGTTCACTCGCCGAACAAAAATTTCCACCATTTTTGGCGCGGGACGAGGTACACACCGTATAGCACATTAATGAATTATATGTAATACTCCCACAAACACGAGCGTATTGTTGCTATAAACGCACACTTCAAAAATTACGTCACACAAACAAAAAACGCAGCATGCAAACAATTTTTATGTAACTATGCAATTGTTCGAGCGTACACCAACACAAAATTAGGGATGCGACATTAAAAGAATGAACGATATTTGAATGAACAGTTCTTGATGAATGAGCATAATGTTTGTTTATAATGAAAACAGAATGTTTCATATATAAATATCTATCGCTGAAAGCTGTTTAATAGTTTTAGTACTTATTGTTTTAGTATGTTTTTTTGCAAAATTATATTGCTGTGCAAAAAATCTTTCCAACTGATTTTGCTCCCTTTATGGGATACTCTGCCTATATTTAATTGTTTGTACACCCTAAGTAATAGGAAACGCAGTATATTATCACATAACACTGCGTAACTGACCCAAGCTTAACTATTCTTTGTTTAATATAATGGGGATAGCGAATGACTATACTTCAGTGAATTAAAGTTATTTGTTTTACTGAAAATGTTTTCGTCGGTGGTTTAAGAAGTCAATAATTTTATCATGTGTCATTTTTCTTGAGTTATTACGAAATTAGCTCACCTAACAACATCTTATACTGACCATATCAATATTGAAAATCTTTTATGTTTTAAATAAATAAATTGACTTGGTAATCGCACTTAACAATCTAATAATATGTGAGATACATTGTGTTTTCATGCGATTGACTTGTTTTTTACAAGTTATGTTTTTATTGGCATGCGTATTGAGTACGTACGTACGGAGCTAGATAGCCCAGGTGGTTAGCGCGTTCAGCTTGCGTTCGTGAAGATTAAGCAACTTTGGCAATGCTCGGAATTTGATGGGTGACAAAAAACTTATTATCTCGAGCTTCTGTCGAAGCCTGTGTTGTGCTCCTTCAGTGGGGATATTAATAGACTAATGCTGACAATGTATTGAGCATATTATTTGGAAAAAAATTAAGAATGATCTCTGTCCCACAATATAAGTCATATATCTAGCATTTCAGACCATTTGAAGATATTTAACGCGATGTGTTTGTTCCACAGCTTGACAAATTTTACATTTGTTTTAAATATAAAGAAATAATTTTATCCAAAACCATTACTATCTCTAAAAAAAACAACCTCCTGCATAAACATACTACAATAATGTGGGTATTTTGTAATTAACATAATGTGGGGTATCAATAAATCAGTTCTTTGCCTTCTACTACTTTGTTTCATTACATAACATGGTGACAGCGGTGTTTTTGTGATAATTACGTGATAGAACTAATTGTGATAGTCAAAACGTGTGATAAATTACAATTTCCATTGGTTTAATAATTAAAATTGTACTATATGGAACACGCGCGCCCGCCGCCTGAGTTGAGTTTGGGAGGCAGCTCCGTCAGCCGGGCTGATGCATGGAAACGATGGAAGACACAATTTAATCTGTTCCTCAAGGCATCGGGGGTTCATAATGAAAAAGAAGATGTTCAAGCTAGTCTATTGATAAATTTGATTGGACCGGACGAATTCGATCTTTATCAAACATTTACATTTGAACAAGCATAGCTGGGCACCGTTAATCAAATGGTTAATTTCGTTAATCGTTAATCCGTTACTAAAAAAATTAACTTCGTTAAACGTTACATTTCAGAAAATTTGATGCAAGTTAACGTTAATCGTTAATCCGTTAACACGTGATAAAAATTGCATTTTTTATATTGTTGCGTTAGTGATCTGCTTACAAAACTGTTGCTTTAGGTTCTGAAAGTTAGATTCTGCAGGAGTTTCAAAAAAAGACAGTATATTTTTATATAAAAAATAAAAGTGTGTAATTTAACCATCTGGCAGAATGTGGATATTACCCTTCACGAACATTAGTATGTTAAAGTTCGTATGAGAGTGAGGTTATTATCTTTAATGCTGGACGACTGAGCAATTTTTCTCTTTGGCTTACCCCAGTTAAATCCCTCCTTAACAGTCACTTCAAATACCAAGTATTGAGACTCATGCACTCTTCTTATATGCTTTTTCACATTGTTTAGGCTCGACATTGTTTGGGCTTTTATTTTTGTTTCTTTTGGTAAGCATTTTATGCACTCAAAAAGTATCTACTCCCCCGATTTAGATACAAACCTATTAAAGCCACTTAAACGTGGCCACGGATTTTCGTCCGTAGAGGAACTGGGCCAATCAATGATACTTATGCTTTTAATTTACACGGTAAGTACTTACACTCTTTCCTTATAAATACGCACACTTCACAAAAGCAAACAATCAAGGACGGTACACAAAATCCAAAAGTACGTAGTATTTGTAAACTTCACGTCTCGCTAGTAATGATTTGAAAAGACCACACGCGCCGCTAATACATGCCTAAATAGTTTCGGCACGCGTAGGCGCCGCTCTGCACTTGTCGTTGTTTGTCGGCCCGCCCGAACATACTTTACAGAACGAGTTTTTCGCGACACGGCGCGGTGCCTGCGGTATCCATCCATCCATCCATCCATCCATCCATCCATCAGCCTTTATCCGTCCACTGCTGGACATAGGCCTCCCCCATAGAACGCCACAATGCGCGGTCCTGCGCTATCCGCATCCAGCGTCTCCCAGCACATTTGACGATGTCGTCAGTCCACCTTGTTGGGGGCCGCCCCACGCTGCGTCGTCCGGTACGTGGTCGCCACTCGAGGACCTTTCTTACCCAACGGTTGTCAGATCCTCGAGCGATGTGGCCTGCCCATTACCACTTCAGCGTGCTAACTCTTCGGGCTATGTCGTACACACCGGTCCTTCTACGGATCTCCGTATTTCGGATCTTATCACGTAGGGAAACACCGAACATAGCCCTCTCCATAGCACGCTGCGCGACTCTGAGTTTTGTTATGAGGCCGACATTCAGAGACCACGTCTC